CTTTAAACAACCCTTAAAAATGGTAAAAGCCACTCCTAGTTCTTGGGATACATAAAAACAGACCCCAGGAACAGTTTGTCAACCTCTGCTTTCAAATCACTCCTGTGGTCTTCTCTTTTCAGTCAAGAAGCCAGGTCCTTAAGGACAAGCACCTGCCACTCTAACTTGTGCTAGTGCACATCAGGCCCAGCCTCTCTTCTATTGACTCACGTTACCTAGGGTCTTTTATAAAACCTTTTGGAAATATACTAGAAGAAAAAAAATTGGTGTAATTGAGGATGACTATATTTATAAAAAAGCTAGTCAAGATAACTCTTTAGGAAATTTATGAATAATCTACTATACAGAATGATCTTATTGTACCTTCAAGGAAGAAAGGTACAATGTGCATATGTAAATCATATGCACAAACAGTATCACAGTGTACTCAACCTGAGTACTAAAAAGCACTGTGCACAATGCTGTTGATGGCTGCTGTTAATTATGAAGGAATTTTATCTTCATTATGGCAGGCTCAATGGGGTCTCCACTTATAATAGTTATTTATTGAAAGTAATTCAAATTTTTCTTAATAAATAAAAACAGCAATTTAATGTTGCCACTAATTTAAATTAATGAGCTTACTAACGAGAGCAGCATTTTCTAAACACATGATTGCATTTCCTGTGGTCTGGATAAGTGTTTCAAAGGCCTATGTGTGGAATGTCTGGTCCCCAGTGCACAGCAGTACTGGGACAGGGTAGAACCTTTAAGAGGTGGGGCCTAGTTGAAATATTCTGGTCCTACTGGGTGTGCTCTTGAAAGAGATACTGAGAACCTGGCCCCTCTTCTTTCTCCCTTTTGCTTCACAGCCATGATGAGGTGAGTAGCTTCTTCTTCCACCTGCTCCCACCGTGATATACTGCCTTGCCACAGGTCCAACAACTGACCATGGACCAAAACCTGTAAAGCTTCAAGCTAAACTAAACTTCTCTCTTTGAAGTTGCTCATCTGAGGTGCTTTGTTACAGCACTATACAGCTCACTAACACAGAAAGGGCTCCAGTGCACACTGCATAGGAAGACCTAGAATGTAAAAGAGCCTGCCACTTTGTTTAGCCCAGTTTCCCAGATGACCCTAGATCTTTTTTAGTTTCCTCTCAAGGAAAACCTATGAATATCTTACCTGATTCATTCCCCATGGTACTCTTACATGGAAGCCTCCTGGGAAAAATCCCACTTATATATGGGGTCTGAAACTGACAATCCCATCCATACATATTCCTCCTTAGGGGGGACGACAAGCTAAGCAGACTTTGTAGCCTTTGGCTAATGGACACCAGGGTCTTGGGTGCTCCCTCCTTAAAGATGGGTCATATCTGCCATCAGGGAAAAGGCAGTCCCTGTTAAAAGTCCCCTAGGTTCAGAGATTCTGGTTGCTTGCTTTCAATGTTTCTATAAAAAAATAAGGAGAAAGAGCTTCCTAGGGTCTAAGTAGTAAGAATAATGAGGTTAAAGTCAACATGGAACCCTGAAACACAGAGCTGATGTCCCTCCCCCCGCAACCCCTGGGATGGTACATTGGCAGGCCCATAGAGACGAGATGAGAGTGACACGCTCATTCATTCCCCACGGCACAACTGTGCCAGTTGCTGATGGCACAGTGCCAGTTATAAGGCCAGAGCCATTCACGCACCTGACAATGCCACCCTTTGCATGGTGGTAGGAGCAGAATGGGTCAATCTGGGTTCTCCCTGGGGCTATGTTTGGAAATATAAGGCGCATAAAACCCTTTTTGACAACCTCCATCTCTAGGAGCCCTGACATTTGTCTCACTGTGACAAGAAGGAACCAAAGAACAGTAAGTGTGGCCAAGAGAGAGGAGGCAGTCCTGCTTTGCCAGGTAATAGTACAGATGGGCTCCAAGAGACACCATGATAAAGACAGGCATGACTCTGAAGGAGAGGACACAGCTTCACCAGAACTGAAACCCCACTACCAAAACCCCACGGATAAACCCATGTTGGAGGCCACAGCAACTCCTCAGCCAGTTAATAATTAGACATTTCTCCAACTCAACCTGGGAGCACAGTCAGGGGGGTGTTCCCCCAGTCACATCACCCCTTTACTCAAAGTACACTTACTGAATCAGGAATTTCTTCAAAACAAATCAAAGCCACTTGAAATCCTAAAGAAAATGCTAAACCCCAAATACTTTCAGAAATTCTGAAATTACATGGCTCAGAGAGGCAATACGGGATTTTTTTTTTTTAATGCCCTTTGAGTCTGGTATGCATACTTTCCTTATTCATTTTAACCACCTCAAAAAATCCCCTAAGACACGCCAATTTTGTAACAGGAAAGTTACAAAAGAGAATGCGAAATGTGCTCGTTTTCCCAAGCAAAACGAAACACTTTTATGTTTTATTCATGCAAAGTGAAAACCCTGTTCCTTTGCAGCATTACAAATTGAACTTGCTCTTGGAAATTGCTGTTTTAAAAGAAAAAAGAATCAAAAGCCAAGGAAAGTAAAATAAAAGCAGGAATACAAAGGCCCCTTCTTCTAGGGAATGAGAACTCAGGGGACCACTGCGGGGAAACAGAACCTTTCCCTGGCAAGCATGCTTTTTTATTTACTGCTCCAAAAGCAATCCAACTCAAGGGTCTCCACGAGCCCAGAGGCTTGCTGGAATCCTGACAGCTACGGGGAACCCAAGCTTAACTTTAAATTACACTCACCTGCTAACACTGAGAAAAAATAAGAAGTGGTTTGAATACATGAGTTATCTGGCCCATGTTTCAAAATGTAACCAAGGCAGCGTTACTGAGTTACACTGATGTCATTGGGTATGGGCCATAAGGGACTCCTCCTGCTCTGTAGCACAAGTGACCTCAATGGGGTCTGTGACAGCCTGTTACTTTCTGCCCCACATGATAAACTGTCCTCGAAGCCTCCATGAGGCCCAACCCCTCCTCTATCCCCAGCATCTTGGAAAGGAAGCCATGCACTCTGCTAAGTGTATGCTGTTTCACAAAACTCTACAGCAAACATTTGTTACGCATTTGCCATGTCTCCACAACCATGCCAGTTATTACACATGAAAGCTTGTGCTCACAAGTGCTGTGGTCCTTTCTACCGTTACTTCCCAGATGAGAGAAAATGAGGCTCGAAAGCTTGAATCATTTCTGTGAGCTGGAATTTGAATCTTTTTCCTCCCTGGACAGGTAGTATTTTGACTCATTTTGAACAGTTGGGTGAGCTGAAAACCTCATCAGTGAAATCCACAAAAACCCTTAATTTTGAAAATATACAAGTGGATTGGGGGTACAGCTCAGTGGTAGAACACTTGCCTAACACGCATGAAGCCTGGGGTTTGAGCTTCAGCACCACAAAACAAAAACAAACCCCTTACACGCATACCTAGTTATACAAGTATGTCATGATCTCTCCCTTGGTTCCTGCCTTAAAAACAAACTTGGAGGACAAGAACCAGGAAAGAGATAAGCCCCTTCACCCACAGCCTTCTACCATGGCTGAATGTTTCTAAGGATGGTTTCACAGCATCAGAGAGTTTCCCTGTAAAATTAACCAATTGACTCCTAGGTACCAACTCCAGTCTTCAGCCCTGCCAAGCAAATGAAGAGAAGAGTATTTAAATTGTCTATCCCACTGCCCACACCAAAGCACCTGCCCAGGTGTCAGCACTCACTGCTGTTACAGAAAGCTCAAAGATGCACCACACTCCTAGGAAGACTTGTCCAATCAGAAGTCAGGGAATACTTCAGTTGTGTCTTTTGTAGAGCACTTCTCACATCTGGTTCCAGCATAATTGCTTCCTCTTTGACTGGCAAATACTTAGCCATAATCTTTCCTTTCTAGTTCAGGACTTGGAAGTGGATCAAAGGACAATGAAACATGCTCACACCCAGCATTCAGAGAAAGGATGTGACAAGACAAGGCAGCACCTCCCACCTACTGGGGAAGACCATGAAAAACGCAGAATGTCCAGGAATGGCACCATACATCCAGGAGGGCTAGCTCTTTGTCAGCTGTGACTTCCAACTGCTTTTGAAATGCTCTTGTCCATTTTTAACAAAGCAATACCTAACCACCCTACGGCTGGTCCTTAGATACCAGGAGATTCCCCAGGACCATGGGAATTCTCAAAGGTTGACTATAACTGCATTTAACATAACCGACTACTTAACAGTGGTCTCTAAGAATGAAGTCTGTGAAAACAGACACAAATCATTATCCACAATATGTGCTTGAAAATCAGAATATCCTTGTTTCTAGCCATCTTGGAGAACAGAAAATTCACAACATAGCTGAGTAAGAAGCAATACTTATAAATAACCTATTTTCAGTAGAATTTCACAAAAACACACGGGGAATGCAATTTTGATATAACCAGACATTTCAAGGGTTAAACAATTTAGCCAACCACAAGTTCCAGAAATTCCTGACAATCATGATTTAATGATGGAAGGCTGCACAATCTCATCCTTTTATGTAAACCCTCTGTGAAGAAAATGCCAGTGGGAGGCATCTGAAACGGCTGGGACTCAACCAAATGCAATGATGTTGATTAGGAAAACTGCAGAGGGCTGGGAGCATGGCTCATGTGGTACAGTGCCTGCCTAGAAAGTGCCAGGCCCTGAGTTCAAACCCTAATACCAGAAAAAGTAAAAAAAAAAAAAAAAATAACAGAGGGAAAAATAAAGGAGTTCAGAATGCCAGGTGAGGTGAGGACTTGGAATGAGGATGGCTGGGAAGAGAAATACGCAGAATTTGAAGGCAGAAGCACAGCTGACAGGTTTGATGCATGGAAGTTAGGAAAAGGAGTCACGTGGAGGCTTCTGGGCTCAGGAAACAGAGACACTCTCTAGTCTGTTACATCTCTAACCAGCACTTCTGTCAAGTTTCATAGGTGGGGTGGTGCTGTGAGCCCACACTTTGGCGTAAGCTAGAACTGGGAAACCTGGCAAGGGGACAGGGACTGCAGCAGTCCAGAGACTTACCGGCCATTGTCACGGCCCACACCCCACACACGGATGCTCACGATGGGCTGAGAGTGCAGCATGGTGCGGTCCATGGGGTCCACCAGGCTGAGCATGTCGTTCTCCAGGATCAGGTACATGTCTTTGCCCTGGATTCAACGAGAAAACATGCGGTCTTCCTTGAGTTCTACAGTCTTATCATGTTTATGGTGACCTGTGGACACCGTTTCGAGGGTCAAGAGAAGCCAGGCTTTGGGCCTACGGTTTGTTTCTTAAGAGGGAAGCATTCTTTCCAGTTTAACAGAGCCACAGACCTTCCCCACCTCCCATCTCCAGCTTCTGAAATGTGTCCCAGCCGCTTTCTAGCTGGCTCCTGTTTTTAATCTTTATACTTCAGGATCTTGAAGATAAACAGCTAAGAGGTGCCCTGGAGAATCTGCTTTTTTTTTACCTTGATGCCCTGCAAGCTCTGCTGGCCTCAGTCTTCATTCCTCAGCCAGATCCTCCCTGGTATCCCCTCAGCCTTCCCTGTCTCCTCTACTTTAACACCCTTCATGTCTGTGTGACATGCTAGTGAACAGCAAGTATGGCTTTGTGACGGTCCTTGATACCAACATCAGCTCCCACTTCTGCACCTGGTTATTCCAACCAAGGTGTCATGCTGTGTGCCTCGAGGCCCGATACAGAACCAGGACGGGCGCTGCTGTAATACTGAGATGTAGCCTCCCCAGCTCCTCAAATCTCATGCTGCTATTTGGGTGTTTAGGCTTTGGTGTCTCAGCTCCCAACATGTCAGCTCTCTGAGGCAGAGAGTCTAGACTTCTCAACACTAAACAACTCAACTTTCTTCTTTCCCGTGTAATCCTCAGGCGTAATTTTAAGGACCTACTAACCATCTGGCATGCAGATGAAAGACTGCAGCTCCAGAAGGTGGTCCAGATGCTGCTGCATGAAAGCCTGGGGGGCCAGGCCGAACAGAATTGTAAGGCTTCTTGGTGGGTCTTCAACCCCCAATGTGAAAACATCAATTGCTCTTTGGTAAAGTTTTTGAGAATAGCATCTTTGGTTCCTATTTGAGGTTCTCAGGGTGAATTCAGCTGTGAAGTGCAGGATCGCAGGGATGGGTAGATGAGGGCCCAGCCAGTGTTTAAGGTGTGGCCAGTGTCTACAGCTGAGTCTCAGAATGATCTAAAATCTCTGCACAGAGCAGCTAAACCATTTACAGATGAAATCACTGGCAGAAAACACAACTTGTGCAGAACAATGTGGCTGAGGAGATTGCACAAAGCATGGAGTAACAGGTTTGTATGCTGCCTCTGACCCACTGTACCTCCAAATGTCAAGTGACTCTCATGTTAGTGGAGTCCCAGCAACCTTCCCTGTAACTCCTAGCTAGGAATTGTTCTTTTAGAGGGGCAGCATTTTGACTGAAGAAAAGAAGAAAGGTGGATAATTTAGGCCTGAGTATTGGATGGAAAGTGGGAAATACTGCAGAGGACAAAAAAATTATCCAGGAGTTTTCTTGGGTAGGAGAACATTTTTCCTCCTCTGTCCCCAAGCCTAGGACTTAAAAGCCTTGGTGGCAGTGGAGTTTAGCCCCATTGAAAGGTGGACAGATGTCATCATGGGAAGTCTTAGGAACCTACCCCCCATCATGATGCTTTGCTGGGAGAATGTTAGTAGAGTTCCAAACAGCCCAATCTGAAAGTAAACTTTTGCTACCTATATTCTATAAACTGGACATGGATCGGGTAGAACATACTCACGTGGCAAGCAATATTCTCAACAGAGCACAACTGGGTCTTAGAGCACAGCTGCAATTTGGCTTTTCCTGTTTGACATGCTTTTTATCCTTTCTGAAATTATGTCAACTAACATTTCAAAATAGAATCCTTTAGTTTAAAAGTGAGAAACCATATAGGTATCAATTCCACAACTCATGCAAAATGTTGATTTTCAGACTGTAAATAAAGCAGTGTGGTATAAAGGGTGGTTAGTCAAACTTTAGAGGTGGAGGCAGCAGTGTTGTTGCATTGTAATTGTTGGTCACATCCCCCCTTCAGAATACACTTTGAGAGAGCCCCGTATCTTCTCCCCAGAAACTGTTCTTAAAAGTCTAGCACACACATTTTGCATACAGAATTTTAGAAGGCTTCTGGGCCCTGGGAGTTCTTTCACAGGACTTTGAGGACATGAACATACTAGGAGGACTCTGTCATTTGGCCACTGAGAAATGCTCTCAGAGCCTCTCCTGAGTGGTATGTGACAGGGCTCAGGAGAGTCACCTGGATGCATAATGCCAACACTACCTGTCTTTATGGGGAAACGCATGTGGCAAACACCCAGAGCCCCTCGGTACACCGAATTCTAGAGCCCTGGTTTTCATGAAGCACACTGGGGTGCAGAGAAGCGGGCCACTGGTTATTTCCAGGTCTGCTCACCTCTCCCCAAATACCGACTGTATCCCGGATGTCGTTTTTGCAGTAAGAAAGCTGCCTGATGCAGTTGTTGACAGCAACGCTGCTTTTGCCAGGGGCGAGGTCTTCCTCTGCCATCTCCACCCATCCCAGAGAGCGCACAGCAAAACACTGGAAGGCAAAGTCAGGACGTGAAGTGATTCACTAGTTAGGGTCAACATCTCAATTTCTACCAATCCTCAGCTGACTGAGGTGTGCGAATGCACCTTCAACTGCCTCGTTCTGTTCAGTCACGTAGTTTCATTAACAAGTCCTCTACTGTTGCAAAATTAAATTATTTTTTATTATTTAAAAAAAACCATAGGGGATGGGTTTGCTTGCCTATCTTGTCCAATGGGTTCAGATTTTTGTCCTTAAATTTTCACAAGTGAAAAATTATAGAGCTAATTAATGGGCACAAAGGTTTCTAAATTCTCATAATCCATGACAAGGCAGGTTTTTTTTTTAACAGTAAGAAATACAATCCCGTGGGATCTGTTATTGTTAAAACACCTGGGAAAAGAAATTAGGAAGGAGAATGAATTAAATACACATGAGGTACTTGGCTCTAATAACATTGAAGCATGACGTTTAAATGGAGGAAAGTGCTTTCATGGTAACACCTAGGTCTGCAGTCCAATGGCATTCGTTACTGGCACCAAATCCCAAACTGCTCATGGAACACAGGAAGTTGTGAGATACCTGACAGCTGCCATGGCCATTTACCTTTATGTCATTTACAGGTATTTTATCCACGATCGTGCCCCTCTCTTCCTTCTTAATGGTCTGGTATTCACTGTTTTCCTTTAATTTAGAAAGCCTCACATGTTTATTTTAACAAGTCAGAAATCCAAAGACAGATACAGCAAACTCCGCAGCATGTGTGAGGGTGGTTTGCCTCCAGCCTCTAACTTGCTTTTGATCAGCAGGGTTGCTGGCCAGCCAGATGGCCTGAGCTGTGGTTCCGTGTCCTTCCCTGAATCCCAAAGTCCCTCCCAGGCTGTGCATCAGTTGAAGAGACCACATTCCCAGAACAGGAGGGGCAGACAAGCAGCCATACTCTTCCTTGGTGCCAACAGACTGGGTCTCAAAGAACAGCTCATAAAATTTCCAAAAGTGAACTTCAAATGCAATGGAGAAATGCAGCCATCTGTTCTAAGGTGACCAACACTGAGTTTAGGTCAGCCTTCTTCATCCCAGCCATAACACCAGATTGGGCACCTCCTTCCCGAGTTACTAATCATAGTTCCTTGGGGACAAGGTGGACACCACCAAAACGCCAAAGACAAAAGCAGCCTGTTCAGCAAACCACACACTGATGTTCAGGCCCTATAGGGGAAGGCTGGGCACAAGGGTAACACCTGGCTGTTGCTAGCAAATGGTGTGCGTGCACCATGCCTGTGACAGCCACAAAAGCCACTCGGCAGCCTGTCTCCTGGGGAAAGGGCATGGGGGAGCCCCTCACAGTTCCTGTGTACTGGTGTACAGGCTACAGAAAAGCTTCTGGAAGGGAGGAGAGTGGCGTGGGCACTAGAGCTGGCTTGTGGTCCATGCAGGGCTGGCCCCTGGCCAGCACCTAAGATGTTCCTTTGCTGGCTCACCTGCCCCTCCTGCAGTTGGGTTCCTCAGCCTACAGACCATACCACATTTCTCCAGGTGGGCAGTCAGAAATGTCCAGTGCACACCACCAAACAGCCTCACTGCTTTATTAAAACTCGCTTCCTGGATCTGAGCTCACAAGTGGCAAGGACCTCCGCAGACAGCAGGGGCAACTAACTGACCTCTTTCCCATTGCTTTCCAACATAGGCTCTAGCCAACAAAATCACAACACCACCACCTACTCTGGCCTACCATTCGGACCATGTCACTACTCTCCACCTCCCAGAAGAAGTTAAACTCTTCTAATATTGCCCCTACTTTAATAGTAGATACAGACATGGCGCTATTGTATCATCTGACAAAGCAATCAAGGCACTGTTCACAGGTCAAAGGTTAACTTATTTTTCCTCACCTCAGTCCTCTAAGATAAGCCTAGGTCACTACAGCCTTAAGACGAGAAAACTGAGGGAAGCACAGAGTGGGCAAGTGGTGGGCCTAGGATTCAAATGCAGAGCGATTGGCTTCTGGGCACCCACACCTAATCACTCTACCATATGCGCTGAGATTTCACTAGAGGGACAGTGCCAGACGGAGTTAGGCCCACGAAGAAAGCAGTCAACAACATCCCCACAGTTTCGGGTGCAATGGCTCAGGAGGAAGGACAGCTTGGATTCCAGTCTTAGCTCTACTTTACGGATACTGTGACCTTGGGCAAGTCATTTACTATGTCCCAGGCTTTTCTTTCCCCATTAGTAAAAATGGGCATATTAACTGTTACCTTCCAGGGTTTTTGTAAGTAAAAAACAGTATAGATAGAGAACTTAGCAAGCAGAAAATATTCAACGAACATTCGTTGACTGAAAAAGCAAATATAGTGCCATATAAATCTTAATTGGAATCATCAAAGGGGAAGAGTGAAAGGACAGAAGATTTGTAATTAGGGGAAGCACACACCCCAGTTGTCCCCCTCCCCCCTATAGACCATTCTGCTTATGTTTGTTACTCTAGTAAAATTAAAAGCAGTCCATTAACTCTCAGAAGTGTTCTGGGTTGGACAATAAAGTATGCATTCACCTTAGTCAAAACCTGAATATTCTTCTTGGCTAAGAAATAAAATCACCCAACTCACCCCAGTACATTCAGAATATCATTCTGCCATGCTGATAACACAGAAACAAAAGCCTAAACTACCTTGCTGCTGCTGCTACTGCTACACATTTATTTAAAATAACTTTCCTTGTACAATCCTGCAGTTGTTGTAATTTAGTTTCTGATCTGAAAAGGGTCACCACACTTTAAAAAAAAAAAAAAGAGGAAACGGGTACAGGGAATACGAAGACAGCCCAGCTTCTTCCCAAAGAACAGAGCTGCGAAGAGCAACCCACACTGTTTGGTGCTGCCCCCACATGGCCAGGAAGGTTTATGACCACCACCACTTTTCCTTTTCTTGGGGATATAAGGACACTGAGCGTAATCATTGTAGGGGAAGAGCTGAAAATATCTAAGAAAACCATCTACCTTTAAAAAATAGCTTATTTGAAAATTGAAAACAAAAAAACCCAACACACATATTTTGATTGATGCTCATTTCTCAATGCTTTTAATCAAAAGGGGGGAAGAAGAATAATGGTTTGGGGTCTGGATGGTGCAATCAGGTGGATCTGGATTCAAGTCACAACTCTGCAGTTTGCCAGCAGGTAACTTTGAGTGAGTCACTTCAGGTCTCTGGGTTTCTTTATCTGTAAAATGGAAATAATAATAGCACCTACACTTGATAGTGCTGTTGTGAGGATTACAAGAGCTAACACAAGTAAAGTGTTTAGCATACTGCCTGGGATGCAGTAAGAACTCTATACATGTTTTATTACCAAACCCTTTTTATTCCTATCTACTAGTGTACTAAGAGATATAGGAATGGAGAGAACCTCTTCCTAAGGCATGTGTGGTAGGGTAGAACATAGTGCAAGCCTTGGTTTCCATGGCCAGAGTCCTGGGTTCAAATTCCTCTCTCTATTCCAACCAGTGGACACTCAGCTTCCATAACTGTTTACTAAGGTGAAAAGTGATGCCAGTGCTAAGCTCACAGAGCTACAGAGATTGGAAGGAAGTGAAGCGGGAAAGTGGCTGGCATGTTATAGGAACTCAACAACAAATGTCTACTTTCTCAACTTCTGGATCCAGAAGATGCCATCATTTCCTCCCTTGTTTTCCCAGAGTCTTCCACTTTTCCTTTCCCCAGCTCAATTTCCAGGTCTCGGTCCTTTTCCTTCACCTGAGCTTTAATAAGTGAGAGGAGAGCCTGCTGGCAGAAAGCAGTGGGACCTCGTCCCTGGACCCTGAGGTGGGACAGATGCTTTAGCGGCGCTCAAGAGGCCACACGGAACTTGCCTCTGGCTAGATGAGCCAGTCTCTGTGAAGAGAACTAAAGAAGATGGTGGCTAATGTCATAAGCATCACATTGAATGCCAGGCACGGTCAGCTCTCTGTAACTGCAGAGGGAGAATGACATGATGGTAAATGGCACCATAATTGATGGCAACTCTAAGTCATAGGTATTTAAAAACTAAAGTTCACATGGAAAAGCTAAAATGTGGTCTATTGCTATAAATGTAATCCTAATTACACTCATTATAGGAATTACCATTTAAGCCTAATTACCAAGCAACACAATCACAACTGTATACTCAAGTCAATGTGCTTTTATTGAGCACCAATTACTTCTTGGAGGTGTGCAACCATGAGTCAAACATAGTTCCTACTCTTCAGAAGCTTGTGATGAGTAGATACATATCTAGCTGTAGACACAATCTACAGCTTGGCACCATAGACTAAAGGGACACAGAGGCACGAGGTTGTGTTGGGAACCCAATGGAAGAAGTGTTTTGATTCAGAGGGAGTTCCAGACAGCTTCCCGAAGGGTGTGGTGCTGTAGTGAGCACTTCAGACACTCACTGCGCACCAAGCTCCAGAGACACAACAAGGAATGAATCAGACCAAATGCTGCCCCGAGTCGTATTTCAGAAACCTGGAAGCACACACTCATTCGGCTGTAAACCAAAGGTCCTGTCATGAATAGGACAAGAAAGTCCAACTATAATGGGGAAAGGGAGTGAGTGTGTAGTGGCTTTAAGGCCCAGGTTTCAAGACACTGCCATTGTGATGGACTCTCAGGCTGGCCACTTATAGCCCTGAGACCTGAGATGAGTTACTTAATACCAGTAAGCCTCAGTTTCCTCATCTGTTAAAATGAGGGAAAAAGTATGAACCTCCTGAGGTTCTGGTAAGAGGAAACAGGAAGGCTTCTGGACTCAGGAGAATGGTGAAGAAAGGGTAGTCACTGTTTTCTTAAAGTCTAACATGCCTGGGTTGGGGACAGTGCCAACAGGCAGTTCTATCAATCCTGTTTTACTTCCTCAACTAATGAGAACATTGCTAAGGACACACCTTGCATGTGTGTGTGTGCGCTTGTGGGCGGGGGAGATACAGAGCCTGGCAAAGAGGTGGGGTACTCTGTCCTCTGTAGAAGGGCAGA